ATTGGGAGTTTTGATTCTTGAGAGTTCATATTTTACCATCTATTATTACATACTTCCAAAACAGACACACATATATATATATATATGATCATCAGGCAACTGATCGACTGGCATTTTGACGTCGTATACATATATGTATGTGTGTATGTATGTATATATACACGGACGGTGTTATAGATTTTGCATTAGCTAGGACAACTTCGGAGAAGTTCAAGGAGCATCAATGTCCAAACGCCTCATCAACTTCACACGTCCCTCGAAAGTAACCTTTGGGGGCCGGGCCGGGCCGGGCATCATATTAGTAAGATGAAGACATCCTTTTTGCTCTGTACAATGAATATTCAGAATTGATTTCCTCTATCGATCACTTTCTTTATGATGTTCTATCCATTCACTCTTTTTCTCGTTCCAGTTAATCGCAATTAGCATGGGCGAAGGAATATGATTCCTCTTGTCCCACTAATAATAGGTGACCCCAATCTATATTAGTCATGCCACTAGCCCCTCTAAGCATATCTTCACTTTGAAAAAAAAGGCCACGGCATGTGGTCCGAGCTTGAGGTCGGGCAAAATTTTCATTAACATGGTAACAAGATTCTCTGATTTCCAAAAATATATTAATGCCGCGTCTTTCTTTAACAGTAGTGTGTGACTGTGTGTGGTGGATTCAATAAATATATATATATTTTTTTTGGTATTTGGTATTTGGTATTTGGGGGACGACTCCCATGTAGCGGCTACAAGTAAGAAGTCATGGACACTTTATTTATTGTTCAGTCACTAGCGACTACAAAGTGACTCAATCTTTTTCTTAAAGGGCATGAAGGTAAGGACACAAATTTGACATGGACTTTGCACCATCCAACGAGTCCTCGATCGATCGACCATTATTGTATTGGCTGTTTGTCAAAAAAGGTCGAAAGTTAGCTTAAACGCACACATGCATTGAGAATCCCGTAGTGATCACCCTTCAACTCCTTTCTTGGCCCAAAATACAATTGCTGCTTGTTTGGTGATAATTAATTGACATGCACCATATTATTTATATATATGTTTTCTTTCTGGTCTTCAGATGTGGCAAAGCTGAACTCCAACGAGTGGTACTTCTTCAGCTTCCGGGATCGCAAGTATGCAACCGGCTTCCGAACTAACAGGGCAACAACCACGGGCTACTGGAAGGCAACCGGTAAAGATCGTACGGTGCTGGATCCCACGAGAAGAAGCATAGTAGGGATGAGAAAGACGCTGGTTTTCTACAGAAATAGAGCTCCAAACGGGATCAAAACGGGTTGGATCATGCATGAATTTCGCCTCGAGAACCCTCACGTACCACCTAAGGTATATGTCTTCAATTCCTACTGTTGCATGTGCTTTTCGAAGGCCATCAACTGGCTAGCTAGCAGTACGCAGGCAGCACTACCATTTTACTAGTAGTAATATTGCTTGCTTCCAATAATAAAATATTTGTTCAAGAATACACGCGGACACGTACGCGTAATTCTGATCGTCTCTTTTCTTGATTTTAATCGTCTTTTTTTTTATGTATCCAAGAGTTCTCTTCTGTTTGTAAGTGGGGTGGATTTGAGGGAGTCTCTAGGATATATGGAAAGCGTAGAGGGGACAACATTGACGTAAGAAACTTAATCGGAATCCTACTGAAGCAACGCACCGTGTCACTCAGTAGTATTTATTTTAATCTCTGGATATATATCCTACCTACAAAATTCGATCTTCTTCTACCGTACTGCTTGCCTTCCCTGCTTGCCTTGTTGCGAGCGGTAGCGGTAGCAGTAGCAGTAGCAGTAGCAGTAGATTATCCATCATCAAATAGTCAGGAGGGAGGGAAGGGCAGGGCTGCCACTGCCTGCTTTTGTTTGCAGGGCCAGGGCGCGATGATGCGAGAATGGACGGACCACTTCTACTGGCTATTCAACTATTATATCAAGAGTATGTTTGGTTGGCATATATATATATATAGCTTATTGTTAATTGTCGTGTCGCTCAAGTCAATTGTTTCTTAAAACAAAAGTGGATGTTGGTTATTTAATCAAATAAATATGGATCCCTAGAAGAGACTGGTCAGGTAGCTAGGGTTGGATATCAAAGTTGTGACTTTCTTGGCAATTTCTGTAATTAATATATATGAGATTATTTGTCTTGCAATATACACATGTAGTACTAGTATCTATCTATTTGTCCTAAATTAAAGTTGGGCTGCCTCATCCCGCTCCAATATATATTTTCAGGAAGATTGGGTGCTGTGTAGAGTGTTTCACAAAGCCAAAGTCGAAAGCGTCGATAATGACGTGTATGATGCGACGGCCGGTGGCGGCTGTGGCGGAGGGGGTGACATTTCTCCCACTTTCGCTGCATCTCCTCCCAATGTTGATCATTGTACGGCGGGAGGCTACAACCAGAATTCTTCATTCTCCCAAAGTCCACCCCATCAAAGCCAGAACTCCAGCAGCACTGCTGCTCTTCCAAACATGTCCGCTGTGTTGGGTCGCAATTATCTGCAGTCGTCATCTCAGGAATTATGTAGTGTAACTGCGTCGCGGAATGATCAGATGGTGCATTCCAAGTCGGAGCTGGATGAGTATGGATTTCTCTTTAACATGAACTTTGGAGAAGCAAATTTGAGAGATGGCGGAGTCCCTTCAGGTCTTGAGGAAATGCACTTTGACGACGACAGCAGCCTGGTTTTCATTTAAGAGTGCACGATTAATTATATATCTTAGGAGGCGGAGAAACAAAAAAAAAAAAAAAAGATGTGTTAATGGATTATGATTCATTATGAGGCCTAGTCGTGTCCATGAGTCTGATTCTTCACAAGATTGATTCTACAGAATTTGAAATGCATGCACGTAGCTAGTGATATATGTACATAGGTTTATGCAGTTGCGTCAAAGTTAGTGCTAAAATTTGCAGTAGTATTCTAGATAGATTGCAGGTATGTGAATTGTGATGGACAAGTCAGGTAAGTAAATATTTACTACGTACACTCTGTAAATTCAAGAATATTACTCTGTTTGTGTTCATTATTCACTTTGTCTGTTTTTACATACGTACGTATTAAACCCTAGCTCGTTTCATTTCATTTACAAAAACGTACTGCAAGGTTGAAACGATTCCATTTTGCAACATGACATGATATATGAAAAGGCGGGATGGGATGCGCTAGCTGTCAAACTTTATTATTTGTTGCCATTTTGCCACTGATTCTTTGAAACCTGCTTCCAATTTTGTGCGGATGTTCCCAGAAGGTGGGATTGGGATTAAATACGAAAGTAGACGGAGAGCCGAGGGAGGGGAAGGTCGTCCAGGGTCAGACCGGCGCGCGGTACAAATATTGGATGGAGATCACTTCATATGCATCCTAATTATTACTACTACGTATAAAAACTATTTTAATGAATACATAGGTATTCTCAAAAAAAAAAAAAAAAAACCTTTCAAGAGCTAATTTTAACAAGAAGATTACCAAATTATCCTCATGTGCCACATAAATGAATTTTTGTGCTAAGTAGATAATTTTTGATACAATCTAGAAGTAGGATGAGAATACGAGGAAAATAGAGAGAGAGAGACGAGCCACATAAAAAAGTTACTTAATCTATACGGTAGTTTAGTAATTATGTTGAAATTCGGAGCGTTTTTTGTTTAAATGAAAAAAAAAAAAGAGGCCAGAATCAGAATCTAAAAGCACCTGATTCTGATTTTTAGTTTTTTTGGCCCAAAATCTCTATAATCTAAGTTCCCAAAATTAATTGAGAACACAACAAAATAAAAATATCTTTTCAAAAATCAAAAGCTAAAATCAGCTAAGAACAGGACTTATAAATCACACATATGAATACGAAGAAGTAAGTGTTTGTTTTATGATTAGTTAAAAGGTACGTAAAATGTGCTAATCCACTTTTTTATTTGAAATCTTTAAATTGCATAAGACATTTCCAATTTGATAGTATACAATATGATGAATGAACTTTCTCCTTTCCTTTTTATTTTCCTCAAGAAGGTGAATCATATTGAAGGAACACTTTTTTCAGAGGGGGAAGAAAAGAAGAATATGAAGAAGAAAGAGAACCTTTTCCTCCGGTGATCAAGAACCCGCTTTTGGGTGATTGAGAACATGTATGTACACTTTCCACAAAGAGTCGGCTTTGAGGCGTACGGATAAAGTTAGCTCGTAGCTGCGGGGGACGCGACTACATTTCCCTGCTTGCCGCCATATTTTTTGGTTCTCAAGAAAAAGAAAGAAAAAAACAGAAATAAGGAAAAATTGGCATTTCATTAATTTGTTACTCCCTCTGTCCCGGAAACTTTGCCGTGCTTTGGCAGCTGAACATTTTATGTACAGTGTTAAGTTTCAGATTTGTTTTCCGATTTTATCACTAGAATGTGTGGTCATTAGTGGTCAAGAAGACAAAAATGACATGCGGAGCCAAAGTTACTTACAAGAAATGCAATCCGCCAACAGAGAGTGATTCTCACGCATTACTTTAAATCTTGTGTGTATCTCACGACTGTCTTGCAACTTGAGTTGAGAGCAAATGAAAATCAAGGGACCCCACTAATAAAAGTAAAGAATGAGAGAATCTTGAAGGGTAAAAATTGAAACAAGAGAATTTTTGTTTTCTATTTTGAGTATGTGATAAATATTTTGGGACAGATCAAAATGGAAAGTATGACAGTTTCAATGGGACGGAAGAGTACTAACTTAACTATCACTGCTCATGACTTTTTAACCATCTAAATTAGATGTATATGCTTTCTTCTTTTTTTTTTCCCCCTACTATGCAGTCATAATAGTTTTTTTTTTTTTGTCATCAGAATTCAAGTAAAAAAGAGTAAAAAAAAAAAGGGTGAAGCAAAGAAGTTTTATATTACCAAAAACATTCAAGAACGGATTTTCCCTTATCAAAAAAAAAAAAAAAAAATCAAGAACGTTTCCCAAAAAAAAAAAAAAAAATCGAAGAAGACGCGCTGACGCGGGATATGCCGCTAACAATTTCCTTTCTGATTCCGAATGAATAAATAAAGCTCAACCGCCATAAACAACAGTGCAAGAGCACACTTCTTAGTTTATTCATCTTATTTATTTAATTTTTTTTCCGTCAATCGAAAGTAAAAGAAGGAAGGATCAAGAAGGGTCTTCGCTGCGAGTGGTAGTACGCATGGCTGGGACTAAGGGTTTTCAATCTGGGTACGACAACGAAGCGTTTGGCTTTGGATTTCAACTGACTTTCTAACTCAGTCCAAGAATTGACGCTGTAACCACAGTTAATTCTTGCCGGTAGTACCTCTTATACGGTATCCTTAATCCTATATGTTTATTACTGCTGCTTAGTTGCTGTCAACTTGTTCTGATTTTTGACCCCTTATCCCTTTCATATAGTTATGGTTGAATAAATTTTGTAAGAAATATATGCATGCTTTTTCTTTTATTTTTTTGGCTTGTTCTACTCTCTCTCGTATTTGGGACAAGACCCATTTTGGTATTGTCCACAGCCATCTTCTGGGCTGCTGTCAGTTTATTCTGATTTGAGGTACAATTTAGGAATAATTGATAATTTATGTTTTAAATCGTCTGCATTTTTTGCTACTTTTTGTTCCTCCTCCTTTCTTTTTGTTGTTAACTAATTAATTTATTACCTGTTCAGACTTTTGCTTCTTGCCCTTCCCACTATGGTTCATATTCTGTGGCTGATCTTAACTAGTATTTTCTATTGTAATTCATTGATGTTCTGTGCAGACGAGCAATCCCTTTTCGCCTGCCCCACCTCCTCAGCGGGTGGGCCGGTTGCTTTTTTTTCTTTTTTTTTTAAAGTTGTTTCTTGATGGCATACAGAACCAGAGGAGTTGAAAATATAGAGTCATTAGTACCTAAGACATGCTAAGTTACATACATAGTGGACAGATACTAAACTGTGTTTATATACATTGATCAGCATACATCCAATCAAAGATAAGATTCTGTATAGCATGATGTGGTTTAACGAACTTATGTATTAAAACTCCATGACTGTGTTGATATAGCTTGATGAGCCTGCAGTTCTTGTTTATTTATGATTTCAGTATTTTCTACATTCTTAGGGAGACCTGATATATATGTCTTGGAATTAAAGGTTGTCTTCTTATGAACTCAAACGATGATCTCCTTCATTTTATAAAGCTGGCATAAACTCTAAGGTTGGGAGCACTATGAGCACCTGATCAGTTCTTGACACATTTAAAAAAAAAAAAAACTTGTATGAAACATCAACCTTGCCTTATTCTGATACTATGCATTCTTCCAGGGCCTAAAGGCCAGGGTAGAATGCTCCATTCTGAGGAGTTACAGAGTTTCTTGGGCGACAAAATTACTCTTTGCTAGTGCAAGACCCACATGTCGATGCATCATCACTTCTTTAAGCTGGTGTTGCTCCAACTTTGCTGAGAAGGGAAACTTTTCTGACATTATGATGTCCTTGGCGGCATCTCATCTTATATAAGTTATGTTGGCAATTGAATAGCATTATGAGTTTTTCTGCAAAGCTGAGATGTAAGAGGAATGGTTTGCAATTCTTAAATTGTCAGAGACTATAGAAAAACATTTGGAAATCATCATGTAATAGTATCCATGGATGTGATGATTGTAACTGGGAGCAGAGATTTATGTGAGGCATGTTATCTGTGTTAAAAACTATGAACAGTTAGATCTTTCTCTGAGTTCATCTTAATATATAAGAAAGAGAAATTGGACTTTTCTCTGAATTTATCTGTATTGTTCAGTGAATAAAATTATAAGTTACTTAGGGCCAACTTCGAATGTGTTGCACACCAGGTTCAGATAACATCTATTGTCCTGTCATTCTCTTTCTAAGCTTGTACCATAGGATGGTTATTAATCTAACAGTACAATCGGAACATTGTATATCAATTAGCAATCTTACTAGTCGGCACTTTTTCTGGTTGTTTTGACATTTATTATAATGTGAAGACTGTTGATTAAATATGAAGTATTTGATTAATTCGACATTTGTTATAATGTGAAGATACATTTTTAAACAAGAGAGGATTATATGAAGTATGGTAAGAAGTTACCAATTATCAATCTTTGATATGCGAGGTTTTGTGACAAGTCTATTTTTTTGTCAATTCTTTCGTTGTAAGATAGTAGATATTAGAAGATTGTTGATTCAATATTTCAAATTTCCATTCTTCATTTTGTACATTCTTTCTGCATGGTTTATCATTTGTTGGTTCTTTCCTCCTCCTTTCTTCCTTCTTGTCTCCTAGACATAAATGGTGATGTAATATAAGAGATATTGACTGGTCAACAACTTAGTGGAATTAAGACTATTTCTCAAAAGCACAATAAGGTTTATAAAGAACGAGCATGATCCAATATCAATTGCCCTGCCAATTTTGTGCTTGTTTTTTAGAAGTTATTTAAGACTAGAATTTTTCATATTTGATATATTCTCTTATTACAGCGAGGACAGAAACAGAAGACACCAGATCTATGAGAAATGACGGAAGACACTAGATCTATGATTAATGACAAGGTTGAGAAGCTCTCAGTTCCACCTGGTTTTGTGTCTCTGTCGTCCTTCACACTGAAGAATTTATCAAGTAATGAAGTGGCATGTTCTTCAATGGCGGTTGGGGATGCGTTTCAAACAGAGCTAAGCCCAGTGGGCTTTACCCCCACCATGGACAATATTGCAATGTTCAAGAGTAATCTCAGTCATAGACCATGGATTCTTTATAATCAATTTGATTACAAGTCAAATGAATCTGATTCTGAACTTGAAATGGTCATGTCTCTTCTTTTATCATGTTTTTCCAATTTCTAGTTGACAATTTATAAGAATTTTGAACCTATTGCTGAACTATGTTGCATGTAGGCTGATAATTAACGGTAGCATTTAGGTAAGTTTGAACTACAGGTCTGTCATTTTACATGCTCATATTTGCATGGCTTATGCTTATAGATACAGATGTGATGTGTTGTTGAAGAGAAAAATTATGAGTTTTTCCTTTATGTCTTTAGGTAGAGTTCTTTATTATTATTATTATTTTTTTAATTTTGGCTTTGTTAATTCTGGTTCTGATGATTGCTGGAAGACAAGAACACACAAGAAGAGTAAGGGAAAACTTTGGAGAGTCTTTTTCCATTGATGGTATGAGGAGCTTGGAAGGATGAGGAGAACAATAATGGCAATATTTCCGACCCTAAAGTATTAACATGGATTTCAACCATTATGTACTCAGCTATATTGTTTGGTCATTGAGGAATTATTAGGAGTTATTAACTAGTGCAAATATGACTTATGTTTTACTAAGTAATTTGGTGTGTGCCACATAGTCCTGCCTGTCTACATGGAAAGAGAATGCGAGCAATTTAAAGGAAGAGACATTAGTTAGTGGCTTAAGTGGTAAGATACACTTGGTGGTTTGGCAGAGTTAACTAGATTAAGAGATTACTTTTGGCATATCACACTAGGAGGAGTTTTCCATCTGCTTGGTGCTACTGGATTTAGTTATGAGTTGTGTCTTTGTGGTGGTATGGTACTCTTTATAGTGCTGTGCTGATAAAGATTAAAGTCTAAGCATCATTGTTTGATGACTTTACACTGTTAGTGTCTTTTTATGTTAACACGGGAGAAATGTATGGAGCTTTCCTTTTTGTGTGAATTTGACTTAGGGGTGAGCATCGAATTCGAAGTCGGTAATTCGGTAGGTTGAAATCGGTAATTTTCGGTAAATGGTTCTGGAAATATTCGACCTAATTCACATTCGAAATAGGAAATATCGAATTCGAATTCAATCCGAATTGAATTCGGTAAACGAAAATTTACCGATTTAATCGAATTCGTGAAAACTGCTTCTTAGGGCATCGAACCAGTTGGATGGATCTGTTAACTACTTTGGAGATTATGACTGTGATATCATGTGCAGCAAGAAGAAGAGGTGCAGACACTCCTATGATCTGAATTGCTCTGCTCTGCAATTTAACAGCAGCGGCAATGGATTTTGTAGCAACTTATGGGACAGACTGCAATGTTTTTCACTCTGGATTGGCGTACCCCTTTGGGTTGCAGGAGATTGCAGAGCAATTCAGAGACCATTCCCTGCTGGTCTTGAGGATTGTCCCAAACTGGAGGAGATCCAAATCAAGGTTGAAGGAGATTGCAGGGAATGGTCAAAACATGCACAGTACCCCTTTGGGTTGAGCACTCTGGTGTAGTATCCTCGCTTAACCAAGATGCATTTGGATTGTGGAGACACCATAGGTTATGCACAGACTGCACTGTCTGGGCAGATGGATTTGAGCCAATGGGAACGATTTTACCTGATGGGAACGAATACTAATTTAGGGCAAAAGTCTGAAATTGGAACATCTGGACATAAGGATATTATTTCCTATTTAACTTAATTCGGAATTTCGAAATTGAAAACGGTAATAATTTACCATTTTACCGAAATAAATTCGAATTCGGTAAATCCGAATTCAAAAACTATAAAACCATTTTCGACCCTAATTCGATTCTAATTAATTCGATATCACCGATTTACCGATCTAATTACCGAATTCGAATTACCAAATTCAAATCGAATTTGGTCGGTAATTCGGTAATTACCGTAATTGCTCACCCCTAATTTGACTAGTTCTGCTTCACTTCATTGTTGCATATTTTAATACATAGCTGACTTTTTAGGGTTTTCTCTGCATATATTGCTTATTCTGTATGAGTTTCAGTAATGTAAATCTGATAGCTACTATGGGAACGCAGAATTTTCCCTTGAGAGCTTGCCTGCCTAAAGGAGTGGTCCGAGGATGTTCAAGTTGTCCTAATTGCCAGAAGGTTTATCATAGTCAATTATTTGAATTTCAATTTGGGGAACTGTTAATCATGAGTTTTTTTAAGTTTAGACATTGCAAAGTATTGGGACTTAAGCTGGATTGCCTTAGTTGCTTTGATGCTCATATACATCTGAACTTTTGGAAAGGTTACTGCTCGGTGGCATCCTGAAGAATCTCATAGGCCTGTACTTGAAGAGGCACCAGTATTCCAACCTAGTGAAGAGGTAATATCATTCTTTTCTGCCTATCTGTTCTGCTTCTATTTTACATTGTTCAGGATGTGGTGACTTTGTGAGCTTTGAATTTATTGCAGGAATTCAAGGAGTCACTTGAATATGTTGCAAGAATACGTCAAAAAGCAGAGCAGTTTGGAATATGCCGAATTGTGCCTCCTCCTTCCTGGAAACCACCATGCCTTCTCAAAGAAAGGAATATATGGGAGACTTCTAAATTCAAGACCCATATTCAACTGGTTAGTGACCTTCAAGATCAAGGTATAAAGAGAAATCTGGATAGAAGTCACAAGGAGGCAAAAATTAAGAGGAGGAGAGTTTGGATGAGGAGTTCTGGAGATGGATCTTTGAATGAAATCTCTACAGATGCTAATGAAGTTCAATCTGAGGCTGAGAGCTTCATATCCAAATTGGGGCCTGAGTTGACTCTAGAAGCTTTCAATCGGTATGCTGATGATTTTAAGAGGCAGTACTTCTGTAAAAGGGAAAATGCTATAAATTCAGATGCTAACTTGACCGTGCATGAAGATGGATGGGAGCCATCAGTTGAAAATGTAGAGGGAGAATATTGGAGGATAATTGAAAATCCAATTGAAGAAATTGAGGTATGCTCTACATGGTAAAGCTGTCTGCTTGAATGAACCTTTTAAGTTTATCCTTCTATTTGGTAGTATCTGTATGCTCATTTGGCACTTTAGGTTCTTTGCTGTGCCAACGTTGAAACTGGAGGATTTGGAAGTGGGTTTCCAGTACATTCTAATTCAATGGGATTACCAAATTATCCTGAATATTGTGACTCATGTTGGAACTTGAATAATATTTTCAAGCTTCCTGGTTCACTCCTTGGTTATGAAAATCGTCAAACTTCTGCAGCTTTACTGCCTCATCTTTCCTCAGGGATGTGCTTTTCCTCTGTTTGTTGGGTATGATCCAAAACCTTTTAGAGTTGAATACACTTTTGCTTTTTCTGTTTTCAGGTTAGGGGCTGTTTTTTGGGTGTTTTTCTTTTCCTTTGCCTTTTGACTTGTAACTTTATATTCCCATAGTAAGATCCTTTCTGGTACATTTATTTCCATCATACTTCATTGGATTGTGATGAATTGTATTTTCTGTTTCTTGGAGCTTCACTGATATCTTCTCATCTCTCTTTTTTGTATTCTGTGAAACAGAAAGCTGAAGAGCATCATTTGTATTCCCTTAGTTACATTCATTTCGGTTCCCCTAAAATATGGTACGTCATCCCAGGAGGATATTGCTACAGGTTTGAGAGAGTTGTCAAGAAGCACCTCCCGCATTGTCTTGAGCATCCTGAATTGCTGTATAAGAATGTAAGCTTTACTTTTTAATTATTGTGTAGTGAGAGAGAGAGAGAGAGAGCATCCTGAATTGCTATAAAAATATAAGTTTCACCTTGTAGCATTCAAGGTGGGAAGGAGGGAACATTGGGAGATAGCGAGATCAGATGTTTTTTCACTTCATATGGGGAATATCTTACAATATAGAAAAAGGTGGGGGGGGGTCACTGTGTGGTGTAAACACGATGTCACTTTTTGAAGTTCATAATGTACCCTTAATTATAAGGACAAATTTGTACTAACTCATTCTCCAAAAAAAAAAAAAAAAAGAATTCGCCCATAATCAGCCAGTAGCCCACTGACTATTACTTCCTCACACCAAATCCTACATATTCCCCTCAATTTCCATCTTCCATCATCTTTTCATACAATTATCTAAATTTTAAAGGGACCTGACCAATAGAAAAACTTTATAAAGGGATAATTTTGATAAGTATATGTTTAGTTAACTGCACATGCATTAGGGTGTGCCTTAAACACTAGTATCCATAATATTTGTCATCCATTGACTAGGAAGATTTAACATTTAGGATGACAATGTTAAAAAATGTTCTTTCACTTCATATATGGATAGTGATGGTGTTACATTTGTTAACTGTTGACAAGGAAGATCTAACATTTAGACTGACAATCTTTAAAATTGATCTGTTGTTTGAGCCACTGGTCTATTATTTGACATCCTTCAAAAACCATCTTGCTTTGAATGTGCTAGTATTGAGAATAACTGCTATGGTTTGACGAAATTATGATTGTCCGTATTTTATTAGTGGAACTATTTCTTGAGCTTAGAGACCGCAGCTTTTGATTTAAAATAGACAAAGGTCTTGTGCATTGTTTGATTGGTCACCATTTCTCACTGTTTTCAGATCTCTCAACTTTCCCCCTCTACCTTAACGGCAGAGGGCATTCCTGTCTATCGCTGCGTGCAATATCCGGGAGAGTTTGTTGTTACGTTCCCTGCAGCATACCATTCACAATTTGACTGTGGTTTCAATTGTTCTGAGACTGTTAATTTCGCTCCTTTTGACTGGTTGCCTTTTGGTCAGCATGTTGTAGAAATGTACTGTGAGCAAGGTAGAAAGACATTGATTTCTCATGATAAACTGCTGCTTGGTGCTGCCATGGATGCAGTGAGGGAAAAGTGGAAATGTGAACTGCTTAAAAAGAATGCAAGTGTTTGTGGAAAAGATGGGATCCTAACAAAAGCACTCAAGGTAAGCCCCTACGGTACTTCAAATTACTACGTTTATGATGTAGTGTTTGGTGTTAGTGCGGTTTTTTTTTGGGTACATTTGTCATGCTGCCTTCCTATCTTGGCTTTATTTATCTTTTGTGACATACTATAGTCGTTATGTCTATAAATTTTCTTGTCTTAGTCAGTTACTTTTGGAGAAAAATATTAGAACGATAGCAAGGCAAATTTTCATCCCTGTGCATTATGCAATTTGTTTCCAAAAACTAGAAGCACTTTTAGATTGTTTCTTACATCCCATTATTATGTTCATTTGTTAGATGTTTAACCAGCACATTTTCCTTTTACTCTCTAACCAATAATACGTGCTTCACTGGCATATTTTTACTTGTACTGAAATAATCATCATAACCTGATGACATTCCCCAACTTCTCACTCCAAGAAATAGGTGGCATGGGTACCAATCGCTACTTATATTCTCCTATTGCGTGATTGCTTCCAAGTCACACTTTCAGACTGTTGTAAGACGAAAAGTTTTGCTTTTATTACTTCTACTTTGTCTCAAAAAATCTATGGCATGTAGTAGATTTGTTTTCTTATGGTTATTGTTGGGTCGAGGTCTTTCCCATATGCAGATAGCTATTAGGCTTCTTGCTTATCTGGTAGTTTTAGTCGGGGCGAAATTATTATCTTGTTATATTATTTGGCTTCTGGCGTCTTGCTTTATTGAAGTAACATTTGTTTATTGTTTGATATACCAGCTAGCCATTTCTTTTTTATTTTTGTTTTTTCTTTTTCGAGAAATGATTTGCTTCCACTAGTTTTATTACTAAAATTTGCTGAAATGTTTGTGGTACTTGAACAGTTACGGGTCAAACAGGAGGCCATCAGGAGAGAATATCTTTGCAGGGGTTTACAGTTGCAAAAAATGGAGGATGACTTTGATAGCGACAAAAGGGATTGTAGCACATGCCTCTATGATCTACATTTTTCTGCCATAGGGTGTTCATGTTCACCAGGCAGATACGCATGTCTGCTACATGCAAAGAACCTCTGTCCTTGTCATTGGACTGCCAGATATCTCCTCTATAGGTATGAGATCTCTGAGTTAAATCTCCTGGTTCAAGCTTTGGAAGGGAGGTTGGACGCCATTTATCATTGGGGTAAAAAGAAACTTGATTTAAGGGTGAGTTCTGACGACTTGAGGGAGTTGAGGAACCGTGGCGAAGTGTCTGCTTCCGTAAAATCTGCAGCAACCAGCACTTTATCTCAACTTCTGGGGCCAAAAGAACTAGTGACTGGACAGGTATGTAGAAAGGAAGAAGAGGAGAAATATGATTTACAGAAAATTTCTGCTGGCAGCGGTAGCAGGCAAGATACTCAGGAATGTATAGACCCAAACTTTGGCAACATAACTTCTAAGAAAGGAAAATTTGACAAATCTCAAACCGTTCAAAATGAAGTTATTGTTCTTACTGATGATGAGGATTGAGTGGGAATGGATGTATGCAGAACAATGGTCGAATTTATGGAGCAAATCTGTATATACCTGATTTAAAATGTTATAGAGGTAGGTTTCCATATCTTTGTTTGAGGTCGGCAACTTGATAAAGAAATGCAGCGTGTTGTGCTTGGAAGAAGTCTTGAGGTTTATTTGATGAGAAGGAACTCTTTTCAATAGTCCGTTCAGCATGCTTGCTTGACATGTCCAGAAAAGCAATTTGCTGGTTCCTGGGCAGTCAATAGGAATGGACGTTGCCAAAGGGAGATTCTGGAGTGAGTTCACTGCAGAGATGGGATGACATGATACGGAAGCAACTAAACTGTTCGGGGGATGTTCGTTTACATTGAACAACTGAAAGGAACAGAAATTTATTTTCCAGGAAAAGAAAGACAAAAAGTTCAAGAAATGTTTGCCCAACAAAAATGCTGGCTTTTGTTTTGCTCAAATTTCTTTGCTAAATAGGTAATTTTTGAAAGGATAGTTTTGGTTTAGCATTTTTTTTTTTTTTGTTGTTGGAAAGATGGCTACTGCTAATCCCAATGCTATGTCTTGGACGTAACGAATTCATACTTATCTCGGTTTAAGGTTCAGCAACATTGTAGACGTTTAAGTGCTAACTGCAGCCAATAGGGTGCAGAATTCGGGACTTTAGATTGTTTGCATCAGTCAAATCGATCGAACAAGTTTATAACCAGCGATGATGCAGGCGGAATGATGCAGGAGGAAATAGAGCCGACGACCGGGGGGAACCATCTGATGATGTTCTCGAGGACATGAATTGAGAGATTATATGTCTTCCAAAGAATTACGATAATGGTGACGAAGATGGAGGGACGTATTTTATTAAGAGAATGGTGGGAAGCTTACTTCTAAAGACAAACACTACCGCAACATCAGCGCATTATACAAACATCAACACATGCAAACGAAGTTATACGGCTTCCTGACCAATTGGAAGTTGGAACCCGGAAATTGCTGCTGTAATCTATTCTTACTCAACAGTACGCACCATTTCTCAAGAACCAATCAGTAATCGTCACGAAAGGAGCGGTGGACCTCCTCCTTGGTCGGTGGTGGTGGTGGTGGCAGCGGCCGCTGTGTCATAATTAAAAGCCATCATCATGAGTCTGAAGTCTGACTGAGTAAGCCGCGGTGTGCGTGCGTGCGCTTGTAATGTACTAATGCGTATTTATTTTTGCTTTTGGTTTGTTTTTTTCTTCATCTGGTAGAAGTACGTTCGTTATGATATAGAAGGGCTAGCCTTTGAGCATTTGACAGAAAGCCCTGCGGAGGTGAAGGCGGGGGCGGGCCGGCTTTGGAAGAGCCAGATTATTGTGACAACTCAGAACAGTACCATTACCATTATGTGAGTGTCAGTAACGAAAGAAAGCAACAGAAAAGGGCACTCATCGGTCGGGAGGGAGGGTGGTCCTGGTTTCATTCCTCCTCTTCCACATCCTGGTAGTTCCTCCTGAGCCTCATCACGTTCGCTGCCAAGTTTCTGTGTTAAATTTTTTTTAACCAAAAAAAAAAACAAAGAAGAAGAAGAAGAAGAAGAAGGAAAAAGTGCTTTGGTTTGGTCCAAAGGGACAAAGCAACTTTGCAAGCTTTTGGAATTTGGACTTTGGTGGCTGACTGAATGCGGAATGCCCCGTGTTTGTGTGTGTGCATCATTCAATTCGGGGCAGCGAGGTACATAAAAGCTTGGAAGTGGGACGATTGACCAACGACGACGACGGCTATATGTATCATTTCAGAAACCTCCCCTGTGATTTGTAACGATTGCAGCCATCTCTCTTGAAGTTTTGAAAAATGATAGAAACCTCCCCTAAAAAATGAGTTTTGATAATGAATAGTGATGCAAGCACAAAAAGTCTAATGAATATCCTGTATTGCCCTTATTTGATTTGTTTTTTGTTTTGCAACAAAACAAATTAAATGACAGAAGAAATCAAATATCAATACCACTTGCTAAGCTAACAATTTTAAGGTAGTTCTTTGCGGCGAAATTTAGGCCACATTTCAAAACATCACTTGTTTTTTCTTCGCTTTGCTAAGTAAACGGTTTTTAACAAATGCATCCGTACTCCTAGGTTATTTATAAAATTAGGTAAGAATTTCATTTAAATGACCTAGGAATTAAATATAGTGTATTAGATGGGATGAGATCAGGGCTGTTGGATAGAGAAATATTTGCAAAATGCAGATCACACTTTTTATTTAGAATTTGTAGAGCTGTCGAGGCTATTATAGTCCTTTCATAATACTAAGGGAGGTAAATGTGATTTTTCAAATATCAAGGGAGGTAACTGTAACTATCAAGAAATCTCAAGGGAGGTTTATGAAATTTTACCGTGTAATTGTCATGAGTTGGAATGTGGACGCCTATGACGTACAAGTAAATTTTGGACTTGGATCCAACATTACAGCAAGGAGGGCCCCAGGCCCACCACAATAGTCAATTCATTCCATCCTCATTCATGGCCTTACCATTTAAGACAAGCAATAATAGAGTCCTCGTACCGTTGTCTGTTACATGGCAAGTGGCTTCACCCCAGTTTGAAGTACCCACCCGGGCCCCTGCCTCCTGCCAACTGCCCTGCTTTTAACTCCATTTAGTCTTTTTTACCAACCTGTACACCCAACGTACCAGTACCACTAACCCCAGGTTTTGCTATATAAAAATGCACGAATCTGGACCCATAATGATCAGTGGTCCAAACTCTAAGGCTTATTTGCATCTGATCCATCTGAAAATCTTTACTTTCGAATTTGACTGGGATCACGTGAAGGCCCAAATACTCTCAGTTCCTCATGTGTTCTATCAATCTATGCCATCTGTCCTCTGCATTCTTACGACAAGTCTGATTTTTTTTTTTTTTTTAATAAAGCTTTTGCAAAATGTTATTGTTAATACATTTAATATTCGTCGTTACACTCACATACATCACGTTTCATGTATTACAGCTTCAATTTCAACAAGAAAACTTCCAACAACTCTCAAAAATTCAAATCATATATATGTGTCGTACATTTAAAACTGTCAGTGGGGAAAAAAAATTATTACACTGTTAATGTTTATAATCAGGATACAATTAATAATGTTAATAGGAAAGTGAAGGGAAATATGACATGAGAGCGGCGAAAAAAAAAGAAAAAGAAAAAGGAAAGGAAAATAAAGTGGTGGAAAAGAAAAAAAAAAGAATAAATAAGGAGAAAAACAAAATAATATAGCAATGGCACTTTCGTTTCAAAGAGTCAACTATTCTATTTACCGAGTTGGCAAGACAAAGAGTAAACGAGGATAAATTTCACAAGGATTTAGTACATCCATCCTTACTCGTGATAAACTCACTTCGTTCACGTTAGCGTATTGTACTACATGATTGTACAATTATTATTATTAGATGAGTAAAATTTAGATTTTAAGTTTAAATTTAAATGAAATGATGATAGTGTATTACGAAGGATTGATTTTATAGAGTTAACTAATTAATCCACTAATTAAAGTAAACCGAACATTTGTACTAATTAAAAGTTTGAACCCATAACTTTTTAATTTTTGGAAACTCGTCAGTGTTTGGTTATTAGCGGTATTTCGACTCCGGTCCCTCGTTGTTAAAAAAGAGGCGGGACAGGCGACGGGCCAATGGCATCGTCACAAAGTGGAGAAAATGGGGACCCACGAATCTGAGGTTTTTCTTTAAATTTTTGACTGTTGGTTTGGTAAATGGAGATGGAGAGTGGAGTTGGGCTTTCGATGTGGACGAGACAATGCTCCTGTACGGTCCACGCTCACCAAAGAGTCCATAGGCCTGCAGCAATGAAACGCTGCCACGTAAAGATAGTCCATGTGGGGTTAGGCGGTTAGGTTGGTCCTGGTAAATTTTTGGGAGTTTATTCTTTCTGGAGCTTGGACTGGGTCACCTGGACCGGTCCGAAAGTTAAGTGGGTCATTCCTTTTTTTGGCGGGTAGCCATATGATTCACTGTAGCCGACATCAGTGACAGGCTTGCACGTGAGGGGAATTGCATGGTTGGACTGACTCCAAAACGTGGGACCTCTTACAAGTCAAATCGAAAGTCCCATCTGATTGACCATAGAGAGTGCCAGATTCTCGTACGACCTTGCCTTTTTCGACTTAAATTACACCACCCCTTGCATCGTATACGTGCCTTCTGAGGTGTGACGAACACGCTCTTAGCGTTTTTTTTTTTTTTTTTTCTAATTTTTCCTATTTCTTTTTAAAAGATTTATGCAATCCTTTTCTTTCTCTATCTCTATCTTTTTCCGGTACCAAATGTTTGATTTTTTTTTTTTGGGACGATTAGATGGGGCTCTTTTACCTCCATTTTTTTGCACCAAATTATCAACAAATAAATCTTATATACACTGTACAGCTTATTATCATTTGATCCATAATATACATATAAATTAAATTTTATATAATTATCGTTCATTCATGTAAGAAACATGAATCTAATAACAATTATGTATTTTATATACATGTAATTGATAAGTACAACTTTTCTTTCCATTTTGTCTCCGGTATGACAAATAAGACGGCTATAATTGAAGATGAGAACTTTTACCTAACTGAGCTAACTCAGTTGGCCACCAGATGAGGGATTTATTAGTCCCAACAGCTGTATTTCAAGATGAGAACCTTTACTCAATTGAACTGTCTAAGTTGGCCACTAGAGGAGAGATTTCTCCCCGGGCACAAGTCTTAGTCAGGGCGTTGAACCCCTCCTGACTACATTTTCTCTTCAGAATTTTCTGGAGTATAGCCGAATGGAGCATAGGATCAATATTATTTGCACAAGTCCGTATTCAATCTTCTTTTACCAATATAGAACCAATTGTAACAATATTTTACTCTAACCCTTCATTCATCATGCTGCATGAAACAAAAGGATACGATGATGTGTTTGTTTAGTTAGAAGGTATTATAATGTACTGCTAATATATTAACAACGATGATACTGATTTGGATACCCTAAAACTTTCAAGGGTTTGCGTCGTCGGTCTGACGTGATTTAAGATGAACAAATTGAAGAGTTGCTCCTCTCTTTAATATTTTGTTTATTGGTTTTGAAGTCCCGAAGACTGGAGAAAGAAAAGAGAAGAAAAGGAAGATGACCATCCTTGCTTGCTCATGTCAAAAGTTGAATGCAAATTCACTTGAGATACAACCCTCTGTGTTACGTGTATCATATGCCTGCATTCGTTGTGGAGGTTTTAGTTTATCTTCACGCAGACCGTTTGTCGGTACGGATACCATGTTTTACGGATTTAATCGCGATTGGAGATGCCATCGACCCAAGAAACTGTTTTATCTGAACTTCTGATTAAATGTCCCTCAAAAAAAAAAAAAAAAAACTTTAAACTTCTGATTAAATGTTTTTTTTTTTGGGGGTGTTATCCCCTTCGGATAATGCACGTTTTGCTTCCATTTCACCCCTCTCGTCAACTCTCAGTGGGAGACCCCGCCCCCATAAGAGCTTTTGCATGATGAATGCCAGCAAGCAACAGAAGGCAGGAGCCCCATTCACCTGCCATAATTTTGACTAAAAGCTCGATCAGGTTTGAAATGACATTTTTCTGTTTTTTTCCAGCTTTCACGGCTGTTATACGAACTTGAAAACGAGGAAACTTTGTTCGCCCTTTTGTTGGCAACTTACCGCATTCAGCATTTTTCCTGCCAACAGCTCATGAGGCGCATTAATCATTTGCCAAATGTTTTTCTAATATTCCAATCATCATGTATGCATCCAAGAGCAAATTCCCTCCCCCGCCCCCTATTTTTGAGTACGTTTAACAACTGATTTGGAAAATACTCTAGAACATAGCAGAGATGACATCAATTGCTATATATCGAGCGTATAATCGCCTATCATCAGTTGAGGTAGATTGGTGGAAGTCAACAACTGGAAAATATTCCAATGGGAGCATACCTTTATATCATACTTCATTTGGCACACGCAATCATGAGTGAATTAGAAACTGATCATATCATCCGAGTTGCTCATTGAAACTAGGTACTTGATTAATCCAACTCTCAAATTCTTCATTTTCTCCTCCTCCTTTTAGGATTTAGGGGCATCAATTCATGCACCACTTTCGTTTTTGGGTTGAATCCACACAATACTTGGATGTGTGAATGTCATATGTTAAAACAGATGCAGCGGAACGGAAGAACAAGCAAGAACAAATTTGGGAGAAATCATATTTTTATTAGGGTTCGAAATGTATCAGATATATTGTACAAAATGGATATAAGGTATACATATACAACCAAATAACCAAAACGGACTGGACCCAAAAAATAGGTCAAAAAATCGAGACCCTAACTAAAACCGAGATCCCCGAGCAGCTCAGCGGAGGTCGAAAATCCGATTCAAGACATTTCAACATCATATGATAATAGTCTCTTTCTTTTTGTTTTTCCATGTGTTTTCTTTTTTCGTTTTGTAGAATATAGCTTATCAAACATTAACTCCCAGCTTCTCAATAATCTGAGAATTATAGCATTAGCACGGGTCAAATTGCCCTGCTTTTCCAATTGAGGAATCAATCTGTTGATGATTTTTCCCTTGGAATGGAAAGTGACCTTATGATGACAATTGACAATTTTGAGCAAGCCATGACAGTGGCAACTGCCTTATCATCAACGACTTCCGTGTTAAACATCAAATTTGTGCACTGATCTTGACTTATTAATCCTAGTGCCGATCTAAACGATCGGCGCAATTATGCTCGTTTAACATTAATTTTTACCATCCACGCACTTCTCATGCAATCATTTCATTTTAAGACGAAAAACATCAAGATTATCTCCTTATATATATATATATATATTAATGCACCATAATAATTTACATGTATATACATAGTATTATCATAATAGATCTTCTATGTCATACCTTGTCTCACGTCATATCTTATTCCTTTTAGTCCTATCAAGCGTCCCTTAGTAAATCAAACCCTAAAACAACCCAACTTAGATCTTGTTAAGTTAATTGATTAACAAAATCTGTATAACCAAAATCGATTAAAATAAAAATCATGATTTATCAAAGGTAAAACAAAGCCTAAACCCTAACAAGCTTTGTCCTCTCGTCATCATCTCCACCTTCATGTTTACTAAGGGATACTTGACAGGATTAGAAAGAGTGAGATAGGATATGAGACAGTGTGTGGCACGACAGACAGATCCGTTGCGCAGTATTATGTTTTTCGATGAATAATATGTATGTAATTCGATTTTTACTGAAATTCAAAGTCACAAATACCATGACTAATCTAATGCAGTGGTCGAATCCAATCGTGGTAGCTCTATAACGTTGAATCCAAACCTACCTCGGAAGACTTGTAGTCTTTTCAAGTCAAAATTCATCTTCCCTAGCGAAGAGTTTTGAAAAAACTATGTACTCTTGGCATTTCTATTTTGGACCAGTTAATTAGCGGGTGTATTTGCGCCCTAATAAGTTTGAAGTGGCCTATTATCAAAGACTACATTTCAAATATAACGGTGACTTTTCTTTATTCGGGGCATCAGCCAGCCGGGCATAGGTTGCAGCCAACCAAGTCATGCACCTTTCTCTTACACCATGTTCATTCCTTTTTTCCTAGGGCAAAAAAAGAAAAAGAAAAAGAAAACAGAATTTGTTGATTGATGTTATGCAGGAGATATGTACATACTCACGCTGTATATAGAGCGTACTGTATATACGTGGAACGGCATCAGAATTTTGATAACATCTAAATGTACGCAATTGTGAGAACTAAGAAAGTTTAGCAAATGTGTACGCGTAAATCCGTGTGTATTTGTACGTCTTTATGTCAGTGAAATCAGAATTAGCGCAAATGACAGAGCAGAGTGACGGGCCCAGCATCAGAAACTGCATGAAATCATATAGTACGAGACAGCATATATATATATGGAAGCATGATTCTTGCATCAGATCGGATCACGTCCAAAGAAGCGAAGCGATAAGTATGGAAAAATTCACATCCTAAGCATTTAACAGATCATTGTTCAGGCGAAAGTGCTGCTAACTACAAGAACACGTAACGGAAGACTCGCAAACTCACACAGTTGTCGAGAAGTTCTACATCAGGCATCAGCTTCCGCTAAATTGAACGAACCTGGCTTACTTTTACCAATTTACCGCTTGCGTGTAACAGAAGATACTGTTTGCACCAGCTTCCGTTCCGCATGGTAACCAAGTATGTATATGTATATATTTGAACTACTATCAAATACGGAGAACCAATCGCCAGATATAGGATTAAAGCCAAACAGCTTTAGTACTTGCCCGCATATATCGACGTATCTACTACCCAAAACTATGCTCAATTGTGAATTTGATATAGTGATATGCACATATCTAGGTGTAATTCTGAACAGTGTGTGAGAGAGATCAGCTTCCAGGAATATGGACCAAAGATATACTTGTATAATGGGGAAAACCAAAATTGACTATTTCCCGAATGTCTCAAGTCAACCCCCCCCAAAAAAAATTTTAACATTATTGAAAACTTAACCTAAATCCATTAAATCCCAAAATTCAGCCACTGTCAAGAATAGGGTTGCGTCAAATTTTCTTGGTGTGACATTTTCTTGTATGCTTCTTCTTGGGATGCGCCACTGATTGATTGCATAGGATGCATCTTTAACTAAAGTCATCTTAAGGTGAATCCGGAATGATTAGTGGTGCTAATTATATATCCCTCATTGGTCAAGGTGTACATGCGTTTCACACCCCACTAATATTATATAGCTTGAAAACAAGATATCCAATGAGAAATTTCAACGAGGAACATGAACACAATGAATCATGCATCATCTTTATAGCTTTCAGCCATGGAATAGAAGGGTAATTGTACTCCCCTTAGGCCACACGTACTGTGAAAATACCCCAAGCGACGAACTAACGGCACCTGATCCTGTTCCATCCTACATGCTGTCGGGCAAAAGTTAATGCTTAGTAATAATCATGAATCACTCCAACTGAAGGCGTTCAGAAACCTATTTATTTGCATGAAGAATGATAATCAGGCAAACACTATTTGTTCATCCATACTTAAAGCCATCGTTGGCTGCAGTATAAACTTCAGTGACGGCAATGCTTTATTTAGCCCGCATAAAATTGTGTATAGTTTAGCAAAAGGGTGAATGGATCGTATTCCACATTTGCTCAACCATTATTAATGTGCTTCTGAAAAAAACAAATCCATACCTTTCACTTCAGTTTGCGTTCATGTAAGTTTAACTTAGTTCCATTAAGTAAGCTCAAAAGAAAACTTCTGTTTAGTAAACGTAAATGTGTTGTGACCTTTTGGGATTGAAGAATGATTTGGCAAATGTTACTATTTCCAACATAAAGACCTGAACATAAAAAAGAAGAAAGACGGCTAATTTATTTATAACGTCATCAGTATTGAAATCCAACTTGCAACTTGCAAGGGCATATGAAGACATCTTGAAATCACATTTGTCTGCCAATTTCATCTATTCTAGCAATGAAATGACAGCACTATGAATGAGCAAATTAATTAATCATATTAATCAGAAAGTCACAGGCGCGCGCTCAAGTATTAGTTAGGGGAATTCATTAATTTGCATGAGCTCAATGGACATGGAAAAGAAGCCCAACAGTAGGAGGTAAAAGTTATACTCGTAGATCTATTGTTGTAAAAATCAATTCCTTTCAACAAGAGCAACAATTATCAGGAAGTAAAGCTGTAAAAGTAGGAGGACAGAAGAAAAAGAGAAAGTGATCAGATGGTGAGATTTTACTTGGAAATTTCTCATACACATCAGAGGCTATCATCTGGCCAACAATCCCTAAGTTCACAAGACCACGCCAGCTTTAATAGCATCCAAAACTGAACCGTCAATTGTCACAAAACCAACAGAATTAGACACTGAAATGATGATTAGATGAAACAAACTTTTGGTTGGGAAACTACACGATGGAATGCATCTATATATGCTAGAGTTGCACATGGAACATGAGTCATTACTGCAAGTAGTAGTACATTAACTCCACCTTTTAGCGGTACGACTATTACTAGGCTTATACTATATATAATAGTGCTTCTAACGCTGCTACTGTTTGCATCAAAAGCAGAATAAATAAAAGTTGCTCCCAGGTGGAAGCAATATATTGCTCATTCATCTGGTCTGGTGCATGCCCCCAGCTGAATAAACAGTAGTAGTAGTCGGTAACAGTTTCGCAGTTGATCGAATCCCACTTTAGAAGAAGTAAAATCTAACTAACCCTAGTGCAGTACTACTCGTAAAGCCACAACATTCGACAAAAGATCCACCAAAAAATCAACCAAGATTGGGAAGACCCAGCACGGCTCTAAGGCATTAATTAATCTTCCAGAAAAACTTTAAGTAAAAACTTAGTTGATATGAAGTAGTTAAGCATCATGATCACCTGATGCTGCGGGTGCTGCTGATCCTGCTCCCGCTCCTGCTGCTGCAGACAAGTGCTGTTGCGAGGGGCGCTTGCGCTTCTTCTTCTCATAGCTTATCCCTCTGGCTTTGGACTGCAGATCACGGACTTCGCGCAAGTAGAGCCTCACAGCTCGAGCTCCGAAAGGGTTTGCTTCAGGCCTGCCTCCATTTTCTTCGTATGCAGCCCGGAGGCGGCCAATGAGGGCATCAAGGCTTCCCCAAGCTTGTCGAAGTGGGCAAGGGCAAGGCGCTGGAGGGTTGGGATGCCCGTAGAAGGGACAGATTGGGGTATGGACTTTGGTTTTCCCAAACTGGTCCAGGTAGCGAAGGAATTCAAGGACATGAGCTCCGCTGCAGCGAGAAAGAGCGAGGGGAGGCCTGTGGTTTTTGAGATATTGCCCAAAAGTGTTCCAGTCCCTGCGCTTCTGATTCTCGTATCGGCTGGGAGTGGAAGCAGCAGATGAGGATGTTCCTGCAGATGTGCTGTTGCTGCTGTTGCCCGTGGCGTTCTCAGACTGGGATGTTTCTATATCTGCAAATGGATCCATCATCATCAGATAAAGATTTACCACTACTGTTACTTATTGGCTAGCTGCGGCTGGCTTCAAGATGAAAATCTGTGGCTTGTGACCGTTTTATTCCACTTATGTTTGTATTTGACTGGAATTAAACTAGGGTTTCATTTGGTAGCTGCAGTGTAACAAAGTAGGAGAGAGGGTGGAGAAAACTCATATATGGGCTGCAAAATGCAAGATTCAGGTGCGGGGAAGGAGATGATACATGTTTTTTTAATTAAAATTTTCTAAATGATGATATATATATATATATAGAGCAGGCTGCTGCTGCAGCAGCAGTGGATGAGTATATAAAAGGGAATATTAGTAAATTGAAAGGAGAAAGGGAAAGCCAGAGAAATAAAGAAATCTTTCTTCTTTTTTTGGTGTGCTGTTTGGGGCCGGGGGGGTGGGTGTGGGGGGAGGGAGGGCCTTGTTTAGTGAATGATGTATCAGAAGTTTTCCATATTTGTGTCTGAGGATGGGGACTAAAGGGAGAGAGAAAAGAGGAGCAGCAAAAGTAGCAGAGTCTTGAAGCTGAGATTAACGTATGTCGCTGGCTTTTTCCTATCACTGGATCATCTGTTGTTGTGTTGTATTGTATGATGATGAATAGCAATAATATTGATGAGATTGATGGGAGAGGAGTCGGATATGGGTGATGGGGAGGGGCTTTTTTTTGTGTGTTGGGAGGGGGGGGGGGCGATTCGTATGGAATTGAGTGGAGAGTTTCTTTGTTTGAGCAGTACTATAAAATCTTGAATGACTGTAATGCTGTGGATTTAGTAGCTTTCTTTTCTGAAAATGTTAAGCCCGCAGAGCTTTTTCCCAAAATGGGGGAAGCAACTGACGCTTCTACTAACTATCTCCTATTAAATTGAATAGTTGTGATTGGCAGAGAGAGAGAGAGAGAAGGAGATGAAATTCTTGTGTCTTAGATTAGGGCTCTTGTGGCAATATAAAGAGGTAGAGAGTAGAGACAGTGGGTTGAGATGGAGACAGGAAAAAGTTTAAAGAAAGAACTGGGGGCAATAGAGTAAAAAACCTTAGCACTCCCTAGATAAGGGCCAGGGGTGCAACATGACTTTGCCTCTTCATCCACAGGGAAAGTGAGAATTGAATGTCAGTTCCATGTGAAATGTTGAAAATGCCCTTTTGCCATCTTCATTTCTCTTCTAGTTAAAGTGTGTGAATTTCGTCATTAAAGAGGCTGGCTGTGGCTCATTGGCTTCCCCTTTGTCGCAATAGTACCAAGTGAAGCAAACTAACCAGTGTACACTTTTCTCCCTTTGCTCCTCTATAAGAAATGCACTCTGTAGCCCGGTAGACCAGAGAATGCAGAAACAGCCAGCATTTAGCTGCTAGCATGATCAGTCGTATGCCAGATTTCTGAACGGTGGTTAATTCTAAATTTGGTGGTACTTAGTTTCAACTCGATTTTTGTTCCTGAATCTTCATCCCTTCTTAAGAGAACCCAAAAATTCATAATTGAGCAACGAATGCAACCCCCCCTAACCAGACCAAATCAGCTGGTAAAACGCGAAAAGAAGATGTTTGACTTTCATTTCTGCCAAGTTTTCGACTCTTTGTATGAATAAATGCTCAATTTAACTGGTATTTACCTGCCAAAAAAATCTACTAGCATTTATCTTCTTTCTTTTTTTTTTTTTTTGTGTTATTACTTGGAGGATATACATTGTAAATAAGATTCAAAACTCTTGACGTCCAACATTTCAGAGCAAGAATCTCTTTTGCGTGCGTACGGCTAGTGGTGACTTCATTTGAGAGCACTTACAGGTTAAACATAGAGGCACAAGATTTTAAGAGCATTAATACCAAAAGAATTAGCATATGTTTTTTGACAAGGAGGTTGGGATCTTTTTCTTTTAAATGTTACATATTTCTTGAAAAAGCTATCTATAAACAATTTTGGCTATCTGTTCGGAGGGAGGAGAAATACACAGATTTAGAAAAGTTGATTTTTTTTTTTTCTAGAACATAATTTGTTGGCGTATTAATTAGTTCATTAGGGTTGAATAATTGATGCACTGCATTGAGATACTGTGAAATTTAGGGTCCCAAATAAAGTGGAATCCTGCTGCAACATTAGTGACATGTTCTGCTGTTGGTTTGTGCAACAAGAAATTTCTCAAACTTTTCACCCATTTAAACCCAAGGCAGATTAGTGACATGAGAATCAGGATACTGCCTATACTAGAAGACTTGAGTTAAACATGTTTGACCAAAAGCATATACTGAAAACAAATCCAACCCATCAAAGATGAGCGTTACTTTAATTTGGCTTCCAATAGATCTGTTCTGAGTAAACTGCTTATTATTCTGAGGAAAAATAAATAAATGCACATAGTTACAGAGACTGTGAGTAAAAAAGAGAGCTGACGGAAATTTTTTTTTTTTTTGGGTAAGTAGCAATAAGTATTTAATTGAAGTGAAACCTATTTTTTGGAACGATATCTCAATATTCGGACTCTCATCACTTACAATGCAAGAGTGCTTTTCCCCCTTTCCCTTGTAGAGATTGTTGTGATAGCTAGTAAGATGATCGAAGTGAGAAAATTATATACATGTGTTGCATATATACTTTACCTTATTAGAACTATTACATATGTACTTTACCTTATCAGAAGTATGGCTCCCCTATGAGATTGGAAGAGAAAATATAGAATAAGGAGTATATGAATTCTTTTCCATGTTGTTTGGAGTTCTGGAAATAAATACAACAATTTTATGCTTACTAACAAATGAACTATACAAGCATTTAGGTTCGTTTTGTCTGCATTTCTCTCCACGTCTTTGCTATGTTTCTTTTTCCCTTTCTCTCTTTTTCTTTTTCATTTTTCCCGACGAAACTTTCCGTTGGGACCAAAAACTTCAAGTTTTCTTTATGTTTTTTTAAAGTCCTCCCACTTCTTCTCACGGCCTTCCCCTCCTCAACTCGTAGACACAGAATTCGAATTCTGAATCTGATAGTGAAGAAGATTCTAAAAATCCTTCTCTAATTATTAGCCCGACACTAATGATTTCATACTCTGCCCGCGCTTATTCTCTTCTTAAGCACATGTTACAGAGATTTCAGAACCCAAAACACAACAAAAGAAAAAGGAAAAAACTGCATCTAGAATGTAATTTCACAATTAACAAGCTTCAAAAAAGAATGATCCTAGTAATTGTCAAGTACTTTCAACTAATTGATTGGGAAGTTTCCGAAGTGGTTTCTACATACCAATGATGCAGGCAGGAAAAGTAAGGTATACAATCGTTGAGTACAACTTGAATCCTAACTTCCCATTCAAGGATCCATTTTTGTTTGCAGAACACACCTTACATTGAGGCAAAACCATGATATAATGAATTTTAGGGAATATGAAGCTCCGAATAGTAACAAATACTGGGATCAAGCACATGGATGTCAAACAGCAAGACGAAAGTGTACTTAATTACTATACCTTGGTATATGAACACGGCCTTTGATTGATGGCTTCTCGAGCAAAGAAATTATCTGGTTTTCGTAGCCTGAGGGACAGAGTCACGGAGATATAGTTCATCTCCACACTAATAACGTACAAGTTCCGAGTATTAAAAATAACCTAAATGGTTGGGTTTACTGCACCTTTTGGTCGGTAATAAACCAAAGTTTCCGAAAGTAGGTACTTTTCAGAAATCATGTGTGTAGCTATTCCTGGAAAAACCCCAGTGGAAGACAGAAGTTCCAGGAAGCAAATATGGCTAAACACCTCATGATTATTATTAGTATTTCTTTTTGGGTTACGAAAGACCTAATGATCGATGCTCCAGCAATTAGTGTCCTTCTCACTTGGTGTTTTCCAAGCTTAGAATTGTTAATCATTGTTTATGGTATAGAAAGGGTTAATTGTACTTTAACACCCTTAAACTAACATCCTTGTTGCTGTTCACCCCTCTGAAGCGAATGAATAGACGTTCTGCCCTATTGAAAGCTTCCACGGGATAAATAAATACCAAAAAAAAAAAAAAAAGTTATGCAAGTTCTTTTTGGACAACATGCCTTAAAAAGAGGATTTCCAGACAAATATCATGCTAAGTACCAAACTGATTTCATTTATAATGACTTCACACAATCTTAGACTTTCTTTTAAGAGAACAGCGAAGGGCTTTTGATACTTGCGAGAGTGGAAGCCAAATGGATTTGGAAATGATGACTAGTAGCTTGGATAGACAGCTTGCCCTTGCGAAGTTGGTTTATCTAAGCACAGAAGTAGGTAGTACTATAACACGATTCATTTAGGGATGTCAGCTTAGGTGGTATAACGAAATTCTCTTGAGCATGTTGTCGACCCATTCTGATTTCTATAAGAGCCTAATCTTTTGAAAAGCTAAAATCAAAATCAAAAGGCAGGTATCTTGTAAATTTTGATTTTTTTTTTTTAGTATTAAAGAAAAACAAAAGTTGAAAGAAAAACCAGCTAAGAATATATATATATATATATATATCCAATAAGAAATTTTACAGGGTCAGAAACTAAGAACAAATGCAAAAGATCAGCTAAGAACATGCCTTGTATCCATAACAATCAAAATCCCCTTCAACCGAGAAATTAGGGAAAGCATGAAATAAAAGTGTGTATTTTGGCCATGTTCCATTTTTTTTTTTTTTCTTCTTCTTCTCTAGGTCGACTACTACTTACATTATATTGCGATGATAGCTTTTACGTTAGTTCTTTTGCTTGTGTAATTGATTACCAGTATTTACAACCTAGACCTAGAGGGATCCTCAAGTCGACTACTAGTTTTTATGGATCTTGCCCTTTTTCCTTGGTCTAAAACAATGCATATTAATAGCAGGCAAAGAACACTGCTTTTTGGGGCAGCTTGAGAATCTGTTTAAAAAACGAAATTTGGTCGGCTTTCTTTCTGTATATACAACAACAACAAAAAAAAAAAAAAAAAAGAAGGAGAAGAAATCATAAGCCTTAACAACCCAAAATTTGGTCTCCAAAATTCAACAAAGTCTCTCGATCGACTTCATTGTACGTATTTCCGATAAAAGTATTCAATCTCCTATTGAGAGATGTCTTTAAATAAATCAAAAAAAAATGTAACTGCCTAGCTAGCACAGACAATAAAAAGACCTTCTATGAAACACCCCATGTGTAATTTACGAGGCATGTCAAGACCAAGACATCCGAATTTGACTGATCAAAGAAAAGAATGGTGGCAAACATTCATTTCTGATCTCCTTTGCCGGCCGGTGTCATGAACTGGATGGATAGTCTGGATCGACCTGCTCAAATGGTTTGGAGTTCCAAACACACTCTGTTAGTATTTCAACGTGGAGTTGTGGGAGAGTTCAAGGTAACATTGATGTTCCGTGTCTCGTGTCGATGCCTCGGTTTCAAGTTCAACATAGTACAGTGGAAAATCAAGAAAAACACAAGAAAGAAAGAATAATGTGTGTCTTCCCATTCCTATCCTTTCCTTTGTGGAACGTACCACGGGATATTTCCACTCAGTATTAATGAAATGGGACAGTACTGCCCCATTATGACCCTCCAACACTTGCACCGACTTCTCCAAATCAGTGTCCGGGCAAACTACCCCAACTTTCTTGTGCTCTTTGTTCGAATCTGAATGAAGTGAAGCTCTTCAAATGTGCTGCGACGAAGTTGATCTGTCCCAGCACAAATATCCTAGCTGATTTTTTGCTCACGCAGCGGATGTGCATCTTGTCTGAGTGGCAAGTACTTGATCTTCTTGATTTGCAGTGACAGTTCTACATTAAACTACGGTCATTCATTAGCTTGAGGGGAAAAAATGATCTCTTTATTGCTTCATAAATATGTTTTGTTTTTCAATCAACTTTTTTTTTTTTTTTAATCACTTCTTTATATACATACAGCATATCACGAAAGAAAGCTTTAGCATGACTCTAAAAAAAAAAAAAAAGATCCGGATAACCTTTGATCCAATGGATTTTTTTTTTTGGTTTATTGGTTTGCTTGTGACCTGTGTTTCCCGAGACTTAGTTAAACCTGATTAGCTGGCAAAGCTCTTTAGCAAAGCAATAATCAGTTTCGTAATGTCGAGAATAATTAAAAAATTAACCTCTTTTGTTTTGCTGCTGGGCTTGTGCATGCATGGGTTGGCATCCATGATTTGATTTCATCCGTATTCGCATTCCCCACAAAAGTTTTCTCCCAAACAAAACATTCCCGAAAGCCCCTCAATCTTTCATACCAAAGATAAACAAGGGACCACCCAGATTTCCAAAACAAGTAGATTGACCAATGTGGAGTTCCCTTAGAACGAAGAGATAATTCCCTCTCCCTATCAGAGATTGATGGATCTCTTCTTGCTGCTGCCTCCAACCACACCTGACACCCAAATTCATTTTTTTTTTAATATCATGGTCAGCGATTCCCTGAAATTGGCCTAGCAATCCAACCGTGCAACTTTTTAATTTGAAGTTGGATATATGGGCTAAACTGTGAAATGCAAGTTTCCATCATCATCAGTAATAATGGCGTTTGTTGTTTTTACTCTTTCTTTAATTCCTGTCTTCAACAAGTGCCCGCCGCTTCCTTTACCCAGGAAGGAAGAGGGCAAAAAAGAAGAAAAGAAGGGAATATACATACATATATATATATATATATATGTGTAGAGCACCTACAAACTAGTATCCAATTAATATTATTTAGCAAGTCTTGCATGGCATGGCAGACAGGGCGCTAAATGGTGGATGGGCGGAAGCACTCCAGCGAAGACCCTGCAGTTATGAGTCCGTATCCGTACGATTTAGGTTCCCTGCTTCCTAGGAAACAGATAGGATTTTGATGCAAGTGTCAATAATCTCCAAACTACAACGTAACCAAAACACACCTCTTATGTCTTACTTTACATTAACACAAATGCACTACTTTTTCTAATTCTAAGCCGCTTTTGTTGAACAAAGGTGCACATTGCTGCCAATCTGAGACATCTATTTTTGAACTTCGCTCCCTACTCTTGGATGCTTCAAAGTAGTATCATGTTTGAAAGAGCACTAAAGTTGATGCCTTTTACATTTATTCTGCGGACCAAACAAAAAAAATAAGCTTTTTTTTGTTTGTTTTGGGGGGGGGGGGGGGGAGGGGGTTGTGCTATCACTATTTAGCCTCCTCCACAGCAAAAAAAATCAATGATACACTACGAAATCCAGTTGTAAGCAATCAAAGAAACGAAAAGAATTTTAGCCGCTAAGAAGCGGTGCCCTGATCAGACACCCCATCTACACCAAGAGCAGAGAACCTCAAATTCATTTTGCATCATGGAAGATGATATTAACAGGAGTTGAAGAATATATACACATATACATGCAATACTGCGATACAGTCCGAAGTAACTACCAAAAGAGAAAGCAATAGCGGGAACTGCCAGTATTAAAAGCTACAAAACGGATGATCTACTCTCATTTGCAGGCCAAGTGAACATGACTACCTCACAAATTGCACTAAGTAAACAGCTAAAAGAACTACTAGATAAACAACAATGAAGAAAACTCGCTTCAGCAGTTACTTACATTGATAAAACTGCGGAGGGAACAAGTATAAATTAGTTCAAACTTTTCACCTCATGACTTTCCTCTACCCATAGCACCTTCCCGCTGACTGCGGAAGTGGCTCAGAAGCTGCTGTGCCTGCACCATATAAATGAAGAGCAGTCAAGAAATCACATTCTCTGCCTCCACCTAGAGAGATTCAATAAAATTAATAAACATTTCAGAATTGCCTCGTTCAAAAGACAACTTTATAACATAAAATGCTCCTCAAAAAAATTAAAATCAAAAAAGAAAAATATGCCAAAACCATATTTTCATGTAATTTCTTATCCGTACAACATGGTGTCAACTGCTTTATACACAATTCTGCCATAATGATATAAACAGTCTCTGCAAATGGCAAAGCCAAATTTTTTGTTGAAGTCACTCGAAAGCCAAATATATTTTCAGAAAAGAGTCAGCATTAATGCCACATTGCATGCCTGTTGGACAACGTTAATTATAGATAATCATTGGAAATGATAATATTCATAATTATAAAGTCACAGGTTGGGAAGACAGATGGAGACTTAACATGTCACAAAGTTAATATTAAAAATTGACCATCATCCCATATTATTTCCAGTGATTTGAAGATTCAGGTCAAATATTTTCCACAATTGTGGCTAAAAAGAATCCAACATTGTATTCATCTCTACAAGTATTTCTGGAGACAACGTAGTGCATCTAATGAGTAGAAGACAAAGGATGATACGGCATGAATTAAAATGCTAACACAGGAGGAAAGGGGGAACACCACAAACCTTTTCTTTTGCTCTTGGAGTGCCAGACTGAGACAATGCAACAAGAGGCGGGACAGCTCCTTCCTGCAAAACAAGCCGACAATACCTTGGACTGTTTATGCACAGTTGCAACAGGATTGAAGCAGCATTCTCCTTTCCCCGCTGAGAGCCTATGTCCACAATCTCGACCAATGAGGGTATTCCCCCTTCTCGAGCAATGGCTGAGCATCCCTCTGTTATGGTAGACAAATTTGCAAGAAGAGCAACAGCTTTATCAACCATTTCTCTATCAGGGTCCAGCAACTCCACAAGATATTTAACAGCTCCAGCCTGGACTATACGAGCTTTGTTTTCATGAAGAATAGACAGGTTAAACAAGGCAGTAGCAGCATCTTTCTTCCCTCTGACAGTACCTGATCCTAGAAGATCAACTAATGCTCTAACTGCAGCTGAATGACCAATCTTTGTCCTGTACTCCTCCAAAACTGAGAGACTGAAAAGGCATGCAGCAGCATTCTCTTTTGCTCCAGCATTTCCAATCCTCAAAACATGTATTAGTGGATCAAGGGCTCCTTCTTCTGCAATTAGGGCTTTAATCTTCTCATTAATTGATAAATTTAGAAGTGCAGTGACAGCATGCTCTTGGGTTGTCTTCACATCCGAATGTAGCAATGAAATCAATGGTGCAATAGCCCCACAATTTCCAATGATAATACGATTTTCAGTGTTATATTTCGCCAAAAACCGCAATTCTGCTGTAGCTGCAGTTTGCAATTCAGTTGACTGACTCTTCAAATCTTTAATGAGCTTTTCAACATGAGAAGTTGAGGTTAGATCATTGCATCTAGCCTCAGAAGGAAGTGATAGTGATCTAGATGGATTGTGATTTCCATTCACAGCCATTTCAGCCATTGTCTTGGAACTGTGGTAGTGTCTTCCAGTCAAAGAAGGAGAAGATTCAGGATTCTTATTCAAAGCAGATAGGGAGCAATCAGACACTGTATCTCCTAATCTAGCACTCACACTATCATGATTATTTGAGATCCTGGATAAATCAGGTAATGCTGAAGGCAGGTACTCGATGCTAGAGACAGCACTTGATGTTGATTCACTCCTACTGTGGACGTACGAGTGTGTCGAGGAGTGGTCAGACTTTTCAGCTTGACACACATGCAACTCCTCATAACAGAATCCATTAGAACCATCAACCTTCTTTTCAGAATCATTTCGGGCGTCAACTGAAGATTCTAATATTGAATTCCCACCTTCAAAATTACATTGAACATTATCCACATGATTGACATTCTCTGACTGAGGTGTAACCGATCCACACTTAAGGCAGTCAGGAGGGTTAGGAAGCTTTATGTTCTTCTCCTCACACCAATTTGCTATCAGAACCTTAACTGTATAGTTGGGGATAAGGTTAGTGTGGGACAGTTTTTGACGAGTTTTAGGGCATATGTTTAATCCATGATCAAGCCATTTTTTAATGGAAGTCCTCTCATAGGTTTGCCCAGAAGCCACAATCACTGGATCCATCATTAGTTCTACAGATAAAGGACAAAGGAAGTAGGGAGGGATCTTAATTCCATCTATGGACTTGAAGTTGTCAAGTTTAACCATTATATCACGAATATGAGACAATAGGACAATGATACGGTTGATTTCTTCTAAGCTCTGATTCAGTTTATGGTCTTCAGCCTTCATTCTCTCCTTCTCCAGGGCAATACACTCATTCAGCAGTTCCTGATTTGATGCCAAGTTAAGTGACTCAATTATTGGAATAAGATGCTCAGAAGAAGGGATGTTTCCTTCTGTTATCTTTTGAAGCACCTCGTTTACATGGTTTGATAGCTTCAAATGCTGAAATTTCTGCATGAAATGTTGAAAAGGAGTACCTGAAACCAGTTAAGTCTAGGCAACCAGGAAGCCGATAAAACAGGATTATGTGGCCAAGAGTACTTCAAAGTAGAGATCAAAACACGCATGTGAGACAAAATCCTCCTAAAGAGTGTCTCTAGTCAAAGAATTCATCCAATAAAGTAAGGAAAGGATAGATGACAATTCACTCAAAGTTGCAGCTATACCTGAGAATCACATAGGCTATTGGTATATGCCGATGATTGCAAGAATCCAGATAGAACTTGTGTAATCTTTAGCGAGGTGCTTTCTATGTTATGCACCAACAGGCCACTTCGCACAACCTGCAGATAACAAGGATAGGAATCAGGGTACAAAGTCTCGATACTCAAACTAGTGCAAAACGTATACAATCCAAGTACAAAATGTTTCATTCGAAGAATAGCGCGAGTACAGACCCAAAAGTCAAAGTTCAAAAACAAAAGGCTACGCTAGTCTTTCTCAAATCTCACGCCTCACACACAAAGGAGAACAAAGGACATTTCAATTTCTAATTATTCTACACCTTTCCTTTTTCTTCAATTCTTTTGGTGATAAAAAGTGCGGCAAACAGCTTGCATGTGTGATTGCACATATCTGTCCTGCATGGCACCAACACATCATCCCTCCTCTTTCTTTACTACTCTTCAGTACCATGTCACTGCCCTAAAGTTCGCTCCGGATTTGTTTCAAGGGCTTCTAGCTATTAAAGGATTTTAAAGGCCTATAACTGGAAGTATATAGTAAAATTACAAATGTGTTAACTCCTACTGAATGTGTAGTTTGCAAAGTAGGACCCTATATCAGCCTTTACTTAGGATGATAGCCAAAAAACTTGTACAGCAAAATGTTAAAGAGAGTTGCAGAAAAGCAAAATGTGCTCTTTATATGCTGCGCAAGGTTATCGTATCAGCCTTTGTTGTTCTCCTCCTAATGATGATTGCCAATTTAAATAATCATTTTTATCTAGTACTAGGCAAGTTTGACGTTGCATTTCTCTTGTTTGAAGTCATATTCTGCCTTATATAAGGTTAAATCTAGGAGTTATAAGTAATTAATTGCCGAAATGTTGAGCTGTGAAGCATATGAAACATGAAATAAGCATCGTCATTGCTTCATGAGCATGAGGCCCTTCATTTTTTTTATGTACTTCTCATGTTATCCTTGTTTGGTTCATTACTTCTTCCTTACAATTTCCTAATGTCAATTCTAAAATGCATGAATTGATACGGGACAGATTTCATAATGAATAGGAGGTACTCACACAAAGAATCTTGCTCATCTTTGGAGACCATTTCTCGAAAAATTCCCTAGCCTCATTGACTGCTACATCCAATTGTTCATACTCGTTACAAAGAAATTCATCTGAAGGTACTTTTCCATCAACAACATTGTCAAGTAATGGTTTCAAATGCTTTAGTAGACAGCTCAGATGCACATAGTCATTCTGAGCAGGCATAGCCTTCACAGGAGAACATGTTACTAAATGAATAAACCGAGATACACTGTTAATAAGGCATCTTACAGCCACCAAGTCCATTTACCTGTTCACATAAGTCATAAAAGAATTTAGTAATCAATAACACATAATAAAAATATCAAACAAAAGTCAAAGAACTTTATTCTGTGAAAACCCATTCCAGGTTGACCACCAGTGGCTTTAATAATTGCCAACAAGTCATAACCAAAAGCCAATTATGCCTTCTTTAATTTAAAAAAAAAAAAAACCAATTATGCCTTCTTGTATAAAGAACTTCGTACAACTAAAATGAATCGACATTTGTATACTGTTAAAAGGAGTGATTTTGTATCTCTCTCTCACTTGTCCTTGATCGACTTGATACCATCACAGGAATGAAAAAGATGTAGGTAGGGAAAGGACCAAACCATTCATCACTAATTCAAACAAATGTGATCCATTAACAAAAGTAAAACAGTTATCCAATTACTGTCATTCATTCCATTACACCAAAACTAACAAAATTATGCAAATATATCTCACATATTGGCAGGTAATAGGTATTGCACCGGAGAAGGTGAATTGAAGAAACAGGATAGTATTTGCTACACTAGGATAATTATTGAGGCAGAGAACTCAGCAACCACGTGCAAGCTCAAGAGTACGTACCCAAGCTTCCATGAAGGATTAAAAATGAAAAATATAAATGAAAAGAGAGAGCTGCTACAGATTGAGAAGATATTGTGAATTCAAGATAATACAAAGTTACCCACTTTGCCTCGTGCACTACAGAGTTTAAAGCCAGATTTCCCAATCCAAGTTGCAAGCTATCAACATTCTTCCTCAGAGTGTAAATTATCATTCCGGGAACAAGTTGTTTGATAATCCAAAAAGTTTCTTGATTAGGATTTACCATATGATAGAGCACGAAACCACCCATGGAAAATTATCTTTATCATAGATATTCCCCAAACGCAATATAAATTAGCGTCATTTTAGTCATATGAAATGCTATATTCAGCTGAAGCCAAGGGGGGAAAAATCTGATAGCATAAAAGACAAGAACAATCAACTGGTTTCATATCTTACCCATTGCGGTTTTATACAGCAGATAATCGATATAAAAGAAAACTGGAGGTTAGATAGGAATGTACCTGCTGCTGATTCACCTGAATTTAGATGGAGCGAGCCATAAAAATCAGATCTTGATGGAATCTAGGAATTAGCATCAAAATACTTAGGCTACAATAACTAATCCTCAAGAATCAGAAGTTCCTTTCTCCTTGAATAATTCTCATAAACCATCCAGCATGCTCCATTCTAGAAACAGAGAGAGAAGTGTTGCAAGAATTGGAATGGGAAGGAGAGGAGACAATAAAAGGAAAAAGAAAAGAGAGAGGTAAAGTTGGTGGGGCCCATTAGAGTTGCAGATTTGCTGGGTGGCTTTGGTGAAGTGCAATTAACAATTATGCAGATGATTGACAAGCAATTAAAAAAATGACAATGACAGATGAAATGAAAATCTTTAATGAGGAATCTGATATCATGATTAGGGGAAGCTAAAAAAGTGAGGACCTTTTCTTAATGAAACTGATAAAGTTGGAACACTGCTGGGAAACCAGAATGATTGATTGGCTTTCTATAAAGTGCCTCTAACCCAAAATGAAAAAGGCTAAAAGTATTGAAGATATATGATTTATAAGACCAAAAAAAAAAAAAAAATTCCATGGTTTATTTTTGTTATTATTGAATATAGTTGGTTTATTAGTATGGAGTATTTTTTTTTTTCCTTTGTCGTTCTTTGATAACGTGAAAACTTTTGGAAGAAGATTAAATTTAACCCACCAGCATACAAGTTGATGATTAAATGCAATCGGCCTTGACAACAAGAAGTATTCAACCTTCATCATGATAGTGAAACAGGAAAATTCAATCCGCCACTCTGTCTATATTCTTAACCGAGTAGTGCTACAACTTGAACTGGGATATGGCAGGCTGGTTTCTAAAAAAAGAAAAAAAAAATCTGAGGTAAAATCAGTAAGTGAGAAATTTTTTGATAATAATTTTGTGACAGCCAGGTAATTGCCATTCGTGCGTATTAAAAAAAAGTCCAAGGAAAGATCATCCACCGAAACCAAAGCATCCCTTTACCAAATCGCAGGCAGCTACCACAGCTGCTAACTGGCTCCGTATTCAAGAACCTACCCGCGACCTGAGCTGGAGGAGCATTAGGTGGAGAATTTCCTCGGCCCAGCAGTACATACATTATACGTACAAATGTATTTTGAGGGTTCCACTGCATTAATGCATCCTCGACTACTTGAACCATTTTTCTGGTTTGTGGGAGGGAATCCTCGACTACAATGTCGGAGCCCGGCAACCAACCATGATGCGGCAGCTGATGAGTGCACAACCAGGCAACATGAACCACTTTTCCTATAGTTAGTAGTACCATTTCCTTTGGGCGTCAAGATAACTAAAGAAGGTAGGTGTGCTCTTTATTAAAATTACCCAACATAAAAAAAATAAAAATTTAAAAAAAGTAGGACGTACAACTACGTCGAGGTAGAGTCTACTAGTACTAATCTAAAATACCATGCCCGCCACATTCCGGTTAGGTTGGCGCCGAAAGGCCAACTTCTAACCGGTCGCATGATTTTGATAAGCTGATGGGACTCTTGGTTAATATAAAACAACGGAAGGAAGAATTTAGATAAACCCGAAAAGATATATATGCACAACCGATCTCGGTCTCTCTGACTCCTGAAGGTAAGGTTCGCCTACCGCCAATGAAATTGTCGACTATCATCCACAGAAAACATACGTCTGAAGTTCGACTTTGCCTTCTCTCTTTCTTTTCTAGTTTTGACATCAGAATGTCCGTCCCAACAAGGCTATGTTTGGTGAATGGTGATTACCAGAATTGCGGCCATGAGGGTGCGGGCACCAGAGTGCAAGAAAAAGACTGCTTCATAAATAGAGGAAGATATGGGGACCGAACAAATAAAATGCACTTGCCGAGAAGGATAAAGGCCAAATAACTGGCTTAACACCCAATTCTCTGGAAAAACAAAATCATGTTTTGTGTATCAGAATCCCCACCCAAACAAAAAATAATAATGATAATTCTAGGATCCATATCAATCCATGTAAAAGGGAAATCTTCATGCACGAAAAGCAATCAAATTCAGCCTCCGCTCAGCAACTCGATAAGCTCATGTTTCTTCAACTTCGAGAATCCCCTCAAACCACGAGATTTTGCCAGTGCTCTCAGTTCTATTAGCTTCATCTCACTTAAGTTGCTGTATTCATCAGCATCTGGTTCTTGTACATTCTCATTATCATCGTCATAAATTCCTGAAATTTCGTCCTCAGACATCTCGTCGAATTCGTCACCATCTGAGAAAGTGGGCTCAGTATCAGATTCAATGTCAGGCCCAACCCCAAATTCAGGCTCCAAACTTTTCTTCTTCCCTTCCTGAACAGAGCTTGCCCGTGAGACAGAACTCATAGCATCTTCATCAGAAAATACAGGCTCATTTTTCACTAGAGGAACAGGTGATCTACGCTGGAAGTTTGACCTTGGTCGAGACATAACTGGAGCTTCACTTTCTCGCTTCTCGTGCTCCACGCTGTGGTTTGAGTCATATATTACGGTATTTTTCTCTTGAGAGAATGAGCTATTCTGCTCAGGCTGGTCCAAAATGAAGTCTCTGCCACTGTCAATATCACTGCTTCTTTTTCCTTGTTGAACTGAGTGTTTCCTTAATAGCTTGAGGAGAGAATCAACAGTCTCACTCTCTTTGCCCTTTCTCTGTGACTGCTCAATCTTCCTCTCTTCCTTGACAGCTGCTCTTTTGCGAAGCTGAGCCTGGACTTTCCTGAATAATTCAACTATTTCCTTTTCCCTAGGACCAGGAGTTGCAGTGGCCTGGAATCTGGGGATGCCAGAGGTAGTCAGTAGAGGCCCATTCTTGGAAGAAAACATCTCAGATTCTTCAAGGCTGTCAAAACCCTCTCGGTCTTCATTTTGCCTGTTCCTGTTTCGGGAAAATCCATGTTTGTTTTGCCTTGAGAAATCAGGATTCCTCCTATGACCGCCAGAACCTGCACTACATACAGGAGAGGTATTCCTGACGGTGCACCGCAAATGCTTGATCTTGGCGGAGTTTTTGTTGGAACCACGAGAAGGGTATGGTGTTAAGCAAACAGCTCTTCCAGAAACTCCTTGGCAAGGGAGACCAGTGCCATCAGGAGGCCCGTGTCCTGAAAACAATGAAAAGAGTGGATCTATACATATTTGATTTGTCCTTCCTTTTTAGGATGCTAAAGAGGTATAAAGAATATTAGGTATATTCAAATCATTAGAAGTTTCATGTAACAGCTGATTTACGAGTGGCTGCAGGGGCATCTCGAGGTGACCTTAAGCAAGTCAAAAGACAAATTTATAATGGCAAAGAGAGGATCAGAAAGCCACGACTGTTATTTACAAGAAGCAACAGAAAAGATTACACACAATTACTCAGTCTGAGGTAGACATTTCCTTATCATTTCTCCGTATGTTAGAGCTTACCTAACTAACGACAGATTTTTCTTTTTTTGAAAGTTACTCCATATCTTGTTATTAAAGTCCAGTTTCCAATATCAAATATTACAAAACAAATAAACACGCCATGAGCATATAAGAATACAAAGACACCTTTGGCAGAGAGTTAAGAGGAAAACCCAAAATGTAACTGTGTAAGTTCTTAGACAAACAATAATGTCTCCCTTGGGCAAATACTGTACTCCGTTTTGCACTTTCATTCATCTTGATCTCTCCCCAGCATCCACGATCAATTCAAAGGCATATTGATTCATGAATATTTTCAGCTTGTCAAATTTCCAGCAGCTGGATTAACCATGAATTAAAGCTGAATTGACAGCACCAGTTTGCAGTGACGAACCCTCAAGAAGCTAAATGAGTATCCATGGAATTAGGCACCATACTCAACTCCATTAAAATGCATCTTCATACATTTCAAGCACACACCACTTTTAAACAAACCAAAACCTCAAATTCCGCTAAGATAAAAATGATGGGTTTTTTAAATTCTTAAATCCCCAAGCACAGCAAGAATCTCTATTTACCTACATACAGTCGAATCACCTAATAAAATAAGTCCCCTTACACGTTAGCACTGTATAAAGAATAAAAACTTTCATTTGCATCCGTGCCAATTCTTCTGGAATAATAGCATGGAAAAAAATCCAAAAAGATTCTCAAAAATTTCAGAACGCCTCACATACAGCACATGCCCTAAATATCTAATTGAAATGGAGAAACCCAAGAGAGGGATGAGGGTGTGAATACAGACTCTGCACGGAAAATTTGGAACTAATGGTGCTTATTTCATTACCATTCGTACACCTAAGTTCATCTCCCCTATGGGATAATGCATTTAAAAAAATTCAGATACTTGACAATAGTTGCAATCATGCATACCAGAGCATAAAAATGTTCTTGGCAAACAAAAATACTGAACGGAATCAGAAATAGACATTTCATCAAACAGATAGAATGCAATAGCATACTAGGAAAAACCCTTGAAACCTGTCGTTCTTACCGAAGCCTAATGATTCACAAGCATCGTTCACATATTATTGGAAGTATCTGGTTCGGCAAACATCATAGTACTAAGACAGCTTTAGCCTGGAATGAATAGAGAAATACAAATGAGAAGAAATACTAGAGCACCTTTTTATTACCTGGAACACTTTTGGCAATGAAATGAATTGCACGGGACATTCTTTCTTCTTTTCTTTGTTTTCTTTTTTCCCCTGTTTTTGGGGGTAGGGTTTTAAGTATGGATTCTCAAAACCCGTCTTGCATAATGTGGAGAACGTTGGACGCGCCAGTCAGCGGGGAGCGTAGGGAGGCGGCATGAAGCCTTGGACTGTTTAATATATGAAGACCACTGCCCGCTGATAATTGTGGACTTTTCACTACTTGCCACTCCAGTTGCCAACCTGAGCCGGCAAAACTATTTTTTCCTTTTCTTTTAACTGTCTATGGAATTAGTAATAGAATTATATCTTAATTTAGGCAATTGAGGCTTGCTAGGATTAACTATTTTTAGCTGGGAAAAGATAAAGAAAAATTTGATGGCTCCACAATCTGAAGTGAGGTTATTTAATATTTATGTTCACTAAGTAGACATCTTCATTTCATTTTTTTTAATTCCATTTTCGCACATAATTTCTCCTATTTTATTCTTTTGCATACCTTTTTTTTTTTTTTTTTTTTTTGGTATTGCATGCATTGAGTGTGTGCTTTTCTCAGTAGTGATCAATAGAGCCAATTGGATGGAAATGGGACCTGAACAGTAGAGGATAAAATGAGAGGAATTGCATGTAAGAGCTACCTTTCACTTGAAAAGAAAAAAATGCACAATTCTTATGGGGTTCGTTTGGGTTGATGGAATTTATTTGGACAAGGGATTTAAGTCCATGGATTTGAAATACATCGTCTGGTTAAAAAATTTTAAGGATTGGGAGATTTTCAAATTCACAAACATTTTTGGGGTCAAAATATAAATATGAAAAAGCTTAAGGGTTAAACTTCTAATTTCTCAATTTTCATTTTTTCTGCACCATCAAGGCTT